CACAAGCATACACACACACAAGCATACACACACACAAGCATACACACACACAAGCATACACACACATGCATACACACACAAGTATGCACACACAAGCATACACACACAAGCATACACACACACAAGCATACACACACAAGCATACACACACACAAGCATACACACACACAAGCATACACACACACAAGCATACACACACACAAGCATACACACACACACAAGCATACACACACACAAGCATACACACACACAAGCATACACACACACAAGCATACACACACACAAGCATACACACACAAGCATACACACACAAGCATACACACACAAGCATACACACACACAAGCATACACACACACAAGCATACACACACAAGCACACATACATAAGCATACACACACACAAACATACACACACACACTGACAGGGTCGTTGCAATATGCGTTTTTACTGCCTGTTGCAGCGCTCTAGTGCTGCATGGCAAAAACGCATAAAAATCCGGATGCACGATTTAACAAGCCATGTAGCAATAAAAAAAAAGAATGAGGGTGAGGAATAACAGTAAATACGCTAAATTAGGACAAAACCACTAGCAACAAGGTGATGGCATTTGTATTAAAAACGCATGAGCCCATCATTTTTCGCATAGCTGTTACGGCACGGTTTCATTGCTGCAGTGAATGAATTCCTTCGCACGCTATTCAACATCCCAGTTGAATCAACTAGATACAATATTTCGAAAAGAAATGCTAAAACAGCCAAGTTATCTGGGGAAAGTAAATCTAAGTTGTTACTCACCATGTTTACTGATACAACTGCACGTTTTCACGCTAATTTGAAGCAGTCAAATCATCATATGTACGAATGATTGATGCTTTTATTTAACTTGTGCATCACCACCGTAAATTACTGTAAATTTTGCATGAACGAAAATGAATAATTCCTGATGACAGGTCGTTCGCTGAAATGGTTTAGTTGTTTTTGACCCCAATTAGCAATTCGCCGCCAAAAATTTCACTTGCCTGTGTGTGAGAGCTATACCTAATTAGGAACTAACAACCTGAAACGAATGAACTGTTTGTGGACAGAAACATCCCCTCAAAATTCAGTTTTCCAGCTTTTCTGGTTCTCGGGCTAGCATTGTTCGCCAGAACTCTCACGCGTCCGAGCATTAGGCGTCGGTCGAAGTTGGGCACCATCTTCCTGAGATAGCGCTTAGCTAGGGAAACCACTGGCAAAATTCCAGCACCAAAGCTTGCATAGTTGATCAGTTGAAATATCCGGGCAGTCGCACATACACCACAGACTGTCACAACATGTGTTTTTATGCGTTTTTGCTGTGCTTTGCGAGCTCTGCTCCAGCGCTGCACAGCCAGCAAAAACGCATATTGTCGGGAGGTCGTCTGTGTGTGTGTGTGTGTGTGTGTTTGGAAGCGAGTAAACTTTGTCACCCACTTTCATTTCAGCAATCTGGAAAGCTGGAAGGCTGAAATTTTGGGTGTATGCTCCTACCCGTGTGCCATCCTCCCGTTTTAAGATCCTTCCCCCACACATGCCTAGACTCCGCGTATAGGTCCCCGAAAAAAATATGCAAATTTCTTTGACGGGAAACGATTTCGCGAAACAGGCAAGGCACAAAGCTGAAACTTTGCAAGGATATTCACTGTGCATATGCAAGCTAAAGATTTCAAATTCAGCTGTGCGTGTCAGCATATTTTGAAATAGGAAATCGTATACCTAAAATGAGTATCGATCTATACTTGCGCCACGATTTAGGGCACTGCGAAGATATTTGTAGTGGAGTGGATATTTCGCTTACCGAATAAGGTGCGAGACTGAAACTTCGCTGGGTCATAATTCTGCTTGGAGGTGAAATTCCCTGCAGGTGGGCACAAGAAATACTCAACTTTACCTAAAAACCAGAAACGAGTGCGTTTTGCAGCGAACGACCGCCCTCATCCAAATATGTAAGTGAACATTCAGTTCATTTACATATTTGGATTTCTTGACGAACGTTCAGTTCATTTACA